TGTATCTATGAAGCGCCTTGAGGCGACATTTGTTGTGATTTGGCGCTATATAAATAAAATTGAATTGAATAAAATTGAATTGAATTGAAAACTGAAATAACTACACGGGGTTAGTGACTATCTAGTGGCTGCAGGCGCGGCCATCACATGGCCTCTATGTGGACTCGAATTAGGAAATTTGAAGGTCACATCCGATTTTATGTGCAATTGCACGCTGGCCTGCAACTCAAACTGTTGCTTGGCTGGAAATGCCTCACCCAAAATCATTTGTTTGTCTACTCACACACATGTGCGTGCACACTGCACACTCTTGCTATTAGTTTTCCTTCTCACTGTTAAATGTTGTCATGACTTTAAAAGCTGTGGTGCTTACACGTGTGGGAGCAATAGATTATTAATGACTGCATCAGTTGTATTTTTTTTTTTTTTAAACATGCTTTCAAAGTGAAACAAAGAGGATGTGAGTTAGTAGATATAATAGCTGCATGATTAAAATAAATATCTGTAAAAAGAAGTGATGGTGATGGCTTGGATAATTGGTCTTGTTTTAATTAATGGAGGGAGCACAGACAAATCGGTTTAGCGCATGATAATGCCATTAGTGGAGAATTTCACTATTGGCTAAGGTCAGCAATTAGCGTGTAGCTTAGATAAGAGCCCATGCGGTCAATTATGGGAAATTCCATGGAGGTAAGTGAGCATTAATACAAAAATTCCACCACATAAATGATTCCTAATCATCTCATCTTAACAACAGATTAACGAAATAATTATAATGATCAGATAAACTTAAAATTAATTTCATTTGGATATTGAGTTGAAAACTAAGATGTTGTTAAAAGAAGCTATAAATATGTTTCGTTCCCAGTGTTATTTGTAACATATTGCTGGAATCAAAATCGAATGAGTTAATGATTTAAAACATGATTAAAAAAAAAAAAATTTCCGGCTTAAACACGTAATTTGTTGAATCATTATTATTAATGTTCTGCAAATTATTCTGGATTCACATTTTTTTTTTTTACATTTTATAGCTGATTTTCGGGCGTCGAGGTTATATTCACATCTTTTTATTAGTAGCTTTACAGGCAGAACGCTGTTTCTTAAGGGTAAAAATCATTTACTTGGTTCATGGATTTTTCCAGTGACAAGATATCTTCTACCTCCTGTTACTGTCAGCTTTTTGCACTATTACTCCCAAGACAGTATAAGGACAGCGAGTGATGGTCAAAGCCCACGCAGTGGCGATGCGTCTTCCTGTCGAGGCACAACACAAAACAACTGAGTGACTTTCACAAAAAGCCACAGCGTTTATCATTCTGAGCCATTTAAAGCCTCACAGAGTACACGATCTCATCCACAAAAAAGTTGCTGTAAACGCGAGATATTTGCAGCCATAAATGATGAGCGCCTGCCAATAAATGTGAGCCAACGGAGCAATTTAATGATGCGCTTCCTACTTTCCATAAACTGTCTGTAAATTCCTGTAATGAGCCGCTGTCAGCGCTATCTGTCATAGATGACATAGTTCAGCCACAGTCAGCAGCAAGCACGTAGCCGCTGTATTACACTTGTCTGGGAAAATTCCCAGAAAAGTGTGAATTTAGACAGTCCAGGAAAAACTGCTACAAGTACGAGACAAGGCCGAACGCTAATACTGAGCAGTTGGGATCTTTACGCATTAAGAACAGACATACAGATTTTTTGAGTAAGCTTATGATTGAGTGTGAGAAAACTGCTCACAGGCAGAGGCTCAGCTCATAAGGTGTAAGATGTAAACCTCAAAATAAGTTAATAAATATATTAAAAT